GAGAATTCCCTACCTGAAGAGGGAGAGCCCACTTCTCAGAGCTAAAGCTGAAAACATCAAGTAATCAGAAGGTTTTGAGCCTTCTTTGTGACTAGGGCTTGGGCACATGATCTTGGCTTTGTCGATCAGCTGCCCTCACCCAGATTTGGGATCAGAAACTAGCTATGGGACACAAAGAGTCCATCCATCAGTGGGTGGCAGCAGTGTTCAGAGTGACAATTACATCATTTCCAGGGGCAGCAGCAGCAACATGCATTGACTATATCTACGGTGACATCATGGCATCTTCCCTGGACCTACAGTATGATTTTTACTTCCATACAGTATGATTTTTAAGCCTTGTTCCTGGTAGCACAGCCAATCAGCCAAGTTCTCTAGCCATCCTGCTGATTCTGTGGGCTCCCCAAAATCTTAAAAATTAATTTCATTTTTCTTAAATCATCCAGAGTCACTGTGATTGCTTGCAACTAAAAATCTAGACAAAAAGAGGGGCGCGAGAACAAAATGTGAGATCCCCTGGGAGGTGAGGTAGACAGTATTAGCAGGTGGGCATCTTCTTCCTCTGGCAAGTGGTACCAGAATGGTAAGAGCCTCTTCCTCAAGAGACACAGACTCCTGCCCTGGGAGGTTCAGGCGTTATGGCAGCTGGTGAGACAGACATCTGGGGCCTTAAATGCAAGGCAGGTTCAGAACAGATATGAAATGGTCAGTTAACAAATTACACTTTGATGGAATCCCTTTTCCCTGAAGGGAGATTTGAAAACATTAATCCTTAGATAAAAGATCTGGAGCCCTAGAAGTAAAGGCAGTCACAGCAAGGCATTGAGATTTTACCCTCCTCTGCTCTTATCCAACTTGCTTGCCAAACTCTTCTAAATAAAGGGAGAAAAGAGTCCAAGGTTGGCAAAGAGATCAATTTTGTGAACAGGGCAACTGCTGTCACATGCATTCACTACCTCACTTGATCAGCACACACAGAGACCTCCATGAAGCCGGGAAGTTTGTTATCTTTCCCATTTTGGGATTAGGGAGCTGAGACTCAGAGGGGTTAAGCCATTTGAAAGAGATACTAGCCCTCTGGATACATCTTACATCCTTTCTCCAGTGATTCCTTTAGGGTGTTGAGCAGGAAGGGTGTCTAGAGACACTAGCTCAGAGAGATGAGGTCAGCTGTGCTCATATTTGGCATGCTCATTTCTCTGGCAGTGCCACCATCACTCCATTCCCCTTTCTGGTCCCCTCTCTTGCTTCATCCTGCCTCTGTGCCCCAGCGTTGCCCTGCCATGCTGTACTTTAGGCTGCTGTCATAGCCATGCCCAAAGATGCAGCCGTCCTCTCCTCCCCGCCCCATGAGATCTGACATTCTAGGTCCTTTCCTCCTGTGCTTTGCTCTCGATAAAACTCACACCTTCTCATCTAACCTCGCACTCATTCTGCAGTACCCAAGAAAAATATTGGCCCAAAGAAGCCTGAGAAGAGACAGGTTTACTGGTGAGGATTCCAAGTGGGAAGTGGAAAGTTGTCATGCCTTGGCTCCACCAGAGACTTGCAAGGATGTAGACAATGCCACCGTAGTGGTTTTAAAACAGGTCTGTTAGTGCTGTGGTGCTCCTGAGTTTCTTGATCTGTGTGCTAGTGATAGGCTTGTTCAGCTTGTGAAAACTCATTGAGCTGTGCTCTCACAATCTGTGTGCTTCTCTATGTGCTTCTCTTTACCATCAATAAAAGCTTTACTTAAGAATCCTTTTAAGATAAGATATTTAGACAAGGGCATTTTAATAAATGCTTATTAAGGTGATCCATCTTGGGATAAAGTAATACAAATACACAAGACTTCAGAAAACTGCTAAGTGAGGATAACTGGGCACTATGCAAAAAGTTTTTCTTGCCTTAAAAAAGAGGATTAATGATAGAATCTCTTTGCTTCCTTAAGTACTTAAATTAAATCTTATTGAGACATGCAACTTTTCCAGTGTCGTGGCCACAGTTGAGTCACGCCTACATTTTAAAGTCTATTTCCTCTTTTTTCTTTCCTTTTCTCAACTTTTCTAGGTACAGATCAGTGAGCTGCTTAGAAAGCAAAGGTGTTTAAACCATTTTGATTTGGCAAGAAGGAGTCTTGGAACGACAGTTTCAATATCTGGTTCTGTGTCCAACGGATGGTACCTGGTGACTTCTAAAGACTCCTTCAGCTCCAGCAGGAGCTATATTTTCAAAAACAAAACAAACAAATTTTGAAAATGGAAATAAAATTCTGTAAAAGTCAAGTAATGCCCCAGAGAAAAAAGGGGCTCAAAGAAAAATATATACACATATACAAATAAGGAATTTCTCTTCTGACTCTTCCCTCCTTCCTACCACAAAACTGACTAAGGGTCCGGGAGTTGAACAAAATTTGATCTAAGCAAAGGTATAACCAAATCAGGCTAGATCAAATTCTAGGTTGGAATTTCTGAGGTTACTTGTGCTAATGGTATGCATGACATTATCAAAAAAGTAAAAATCATTCTAGGGCCAATGTAATATAACAATTGGCATTCATCTTATTGTGATCATGTATCCTGGATTTTTCTGGGCATTCTATACTTTAAGTAACTGGTCACTTTGTTTTTTTAATTGAATTTTTCATTCAATAACTATCCATTCATTCAACCATTCAACAAAACTACTGGACAACAGTGCTGGACTAATTGGATATCCATATGGGAAAAATAAATCTTGATTCCAGACTACATAAAACATTAATTCAAGATGAATCATAGGTCTAAATGTGAATATAAATTGTTAAGTCATTTTGGAAAAATGTTTGGCAATATACTTAAAGCCTCATATGATCCTGCAGTTTCAATCACTGAGTGTAAACCCAATATAAATGGATGTTATGTCCACTAAAAGACATATATAAGAATGTTTGTAGGTGAGAGGGTAAAGAGGTTCAAAATAAGTTTTGGGGAATTAATAAACACCATGGCGACTATAGTTAATAATCCTGTACTATATACTTGAAATTTGATCTTAATCATTCTCACCTCCCCCTATACTTAAACACACACACACACAAAGTAACTATGTGAAATGATGGATAAGTTAATTAGTTTGACTGTTAACTAGCTTCATAGTGTACATGTATATCAAAATAACATGTAGTATACTTTAAATATATACAATTTTTGTATACCTCATTAAAGCTGGAAGAAAAAGAAAGGTTTGCAGCAGCTTCATTCATGATAGGTAAAAACTTTGATGGAACTCAAACATCCACCAGTAGAATATGTACATAAACTATTGAATATTTACATAATGAAATAATACACAGCAATGGGAAAGAATGAACCATTGTTACATGCAACATAGATGAGTTTCACAGACACTGTTGAGTGAAAGAAGCCAGACAAAAGTGCACATACTATGTAATTCATCCAAATCAAGTTCAAATATTGGTGACAGAGATCAGAGAGTGGTTACCTTTGTGGGACACTGAATGGGAAGGGGCATGAGGAAGCTGGAGATGTTCTATGTCTTGATCTGGGTGGCAGTTATTTGGGGGTACACATACGTAGAAATTCATTGTCAGTACACATAAGCACTTAACCAAATTTATACCCTCAAAAACGAAAAGTAAAAGAAAAAAAGAATTAGACCATCCATCCTGATTTCATGTACAATAAGAGTCACTGTGGCTTTCCCTACAAGCATTCATACTGATATTCTATTTCCTAAGCGTTCCAGAGGACCTTCCTCTCCCCAGGGAAGGCATATATTTGAGAGCTCTATCCTGGTAGACAGTGAGAACCACACTTGTATCAGACAGGGACAGAAGGGGCAAGGCAGAGAAATACTGCGTGTAGGAAGTAATCTTTTCCCCACAACCTAGCAGGTTAGTACAAGCTCCAAAAATGTTTATTGATAAATAACAAGTTATTTATCAGTTATTTATTGATAAATAATATTTACCAAACACTTTACATTAGGCACCGCACTGCTAGTTTTCCATTTTCTTATTTAATACTTATATAACCCTATAAAGCTGTTTCATTTTTAGTTCCACCGTACAGGTGAAGAAACGGAGATTTATGGAGGGTTGGTTAAGTTACTTGCCCAGGGCCTTACAGATAGTTAGGTGGTGAATGGAGATTCCAACTCAAGTTAATCTGAATTTAGAATCTGGACGCGGAAACCACTTGCTATCGAGTGACTGGACGGCGTCCAAGCCCCGCCTGCATGTTGTATAACATACACGGCTGAGCCCTGTGACATTCCGAGTTGGGCTGACGCTGTCACGGTTGCCAGCCTTGGCGATGGATTCCTCCAGGCCCTCAGTCCCTCTAACCGCACACAGGTGGTAACTGCGCCAGAGAACCAACTGTGCCGGTCCTTTCCCCAACGACCTCCAGGCAATTTGCGTGGGGAATCAGGAAGGCTCGCCCTGCTCAGCAATCAGAAGTTTTCCCCGACTTCAAAACACACGTCGGAGGTAGGCTTGGGGGTTTCACTCCCCACTCCTAGAGACCTAAAGCGAAAATCCACAGAGAAGCTAAAGAAAAACAGGCCTGCGAGGGAGCGGACTAGAGATGGGAAAAACTTGGGTGAGAAGTTATGATAGGAAAGGGGGGAAAGAGGGTAGCGGAAAGTGGAAAGAAAGGAGTCCCATTAACACCAAAGTTATGGGGTTGTCGACGCAGCCCCTGTCTATTGCGCCTGCGCAGTGCTACCTTCTTGGGCACCCCAGCCCCTTCCCGCCGCCGAAGATTTACTCGTCTCTCAGCAACCATTCACTCGAGGAGCCAATCAGAGGGCACCTTTTGCCCTGCCCTTGCCGTCAGCGCCCAGGCGGAAGGATCCTGTGGGCGCCGGCTCCGCCCCGCCCCGCCCCTTGCTCCCCCGGGAGGGCAGGCTAAGGGGCGGGGGCGGGATGGGGGCGGTGGCGGAGGGCGGGGGCGTGGTTAGGCCGTATAAGAACGGAGGGGGCGGCGGCAAGACGGCTCACTCAGTGCCGCTGCCCGGGGGCTGTAGTGACCGCGCCGCTCCTGCTGGGGGGCTGCCCACGCCAAGGACCTGCCTCTGTGGTCTCCGCCGCCGCCCAGGTGAGTCCACGGCCCCCTCCTCTAAAGGTGCGAGGATGCGCAGTCCCAGAGAGCCGCGCGCTCTGCCTTCGGGGGGGTCTACCCTGGCCCAGCAGAGCTCTAGTCTTCACCGAGCCGGTGGGGACGCGGGGGCCGGAGGGGGTGGGTACGGACAGGTGCCGGGCCCCTGCTCTCCCTTTGCCTCCAGCTCCCGCGACGTCACCCCCGCCCCCTAGACGGACCAACCCCGTGGGCCAGGCGAGACGCTCCGAGAGGGAGCTACAACTTTCCAGAGACTTCGGCTGGGGCTGGCAAACTTCAGCGAGTTCCTGCTGCGCGCGTCCCGCAGACTGCGCAGTGGTCGGGCGCGGGCCGGACGGCCGAAGAGTGTGTGATGGGGGCCTTCGGCTCCTTCTCCGGGTCCGACGGCTCCCGCGCCACCCCTGCCTCCCTTGCGGTCATTCGGGCTCGTCCCGGCGCTCCCGCGGGCGTACATACCTTGGCCAGCCGGCCAAGAGCGAATTCAAATGCGGCGGTTTCGGAAGGCGCAGTTAGGGACGCAGCGGTCCGTGACTGTATCTAGCCTGGGAACCCGAGACGGGTTTTGGAGGAGAGGGCGGAGATCCCTAAATTTTCCTGGGTTTTCACTAGACTGGGAACACCGAGAGCCGCAAAGCGATCCAAGCGAGTGACTGGCGCGCCGCTGCTCCTCTCTCGGAAACTCGTCGGGAATACTGCGTCGGTGATCTGGTTCCTCCCCTTGTAGGAGTGAAACTTGCTTAGCCTGTCTACTGAAAGCCACGGCCGTCAGCGGACTCGGCTAGCGGAGCCGCGGGCGGCTTAGAGGCATGGTGCCCGGGAGGTGTCGCAGTCCAGATCGCGGAGGTGGGAGGGAGTCGGAGGAGGGGGACGAACCTGAGGAGATACTGGTTGGTAACCTGCACACCTAAACGCAGAACGCTTGCCGAGAAAACAGAACGGAGCTACCTCGAAGGAAAGGGAGGATTTCCGGGGAAATGCCTGGCGAGTTTCTCTGAAGAATGCGAGATGACCCGAGCTCACTAGAACCGACTGTTAGGGATGGACCTCGCGGGAGGGATCCGCTCAGTCGCCTTGCCCGCCTGCCCCTTCTTTCTTTCTTTATTTTTCTTTTTGGTCCGAAGGGAGGCTTTTGAAGGGCTGACTAAATCTTTGTCTTAGGTAGGGACCAGCTGCCATTTAAATGTCCATTTGTTTGTAATGGAGTTATAACGTGCACACCGTGGAGTGTTACAGGGCACTTATTACAGGAAGCTTTATAAAGACTGTGTAATCATTTGTATTGTGACAGTTGGTATTCAGGAGATTTGGTAGGGAGGTTGGGAACCTGAAGCTCCCCAGGAAGTAAAGTGAAGATCATTAAATCCTCCTGAAGTAGGTTCCTGGCCTGGCCCAGCTGCCTGCAGCGGGTGGTGATGGTGGGGGTGGGATGTGAGTGGCCATTGTTGGCTACACTAACCTTTCAACGTGAGTAACTTGGCTGGGAAGCCAGCTGGGAAGTGAGCCAAAGCCGTCAGGGTGGTAGGAGTGCTTACCAGGAATTGTTCCTTCTTAAATCCGCAGAGGTGTTATGGGGGGACTGAGTCCCGAACTGGAGACCCTGAGACCCTGCTATCCAAGGGGGTGGGGTGTGCACTGGAAAACGCTGACTTTCTCCCTTTCAGGGAAGCTTGGAGGTGGGGCAGCAGGAGTTCTGCCCTTTGACATTCTTGTTTGTGAAGATAGAAAATTTTAGTATCTCTGGAGTCAAGCTTTTACTTGAGATAACTGAAAACTCGTGTCTTAAGGTATACTGACACCTTTAGAGTCCACTTATTCTCAATAAGGAGTTTTTGTAAAGCAGATTTGGGTATACTGTATATAATTGTTCAGGTAGCTGGGGATAACTTTAACATCAAAGTAAAAAAAAAAACAAACACTTTTTTTTCTGCCTCTAAATTGTTACCCCAAACAACAGTCCCAAATTTTGTAAGTTACTGTGTGTTCAGGGAATAAGTAGCAGCACTCTTTGAGTTTCTTCCACGATACCTACCTTGTACCCAGAGATTAAGCTGGGGCAATTGAAGGAAAGGATTGGCTGGCACTTGGCCTGTTTGTCAGAATGGCCATGATTTAGTCCAGCCCCCCGGGCTCTGCCTACTTAGCATCCTCAGCTCTCCTGAGAGTGCAGGTAGCCACCCAATCACATCCTGAGTTACAGCCGCTGGCCGGCCCCACCCCCACCCCCAGCAGTGCCCCACTGAGCCTGCGCGTGGCCCTGTTCAGGGCCAGACCAGCTTGTACACATTGAGCACTGCCCATCAGAACAGAGAAGTCCTCACATTTAGGAGAGTCTGAGGAACTGCCCGGCAGTAAAGATAGCTTCCTGTGGACTGGAGCGTCCTTGTTCTCCCAGTGCCAGAAACTTGGCACATTCGATGCAAAATTAGAAAATGACACGATTTTTTCAGCTGCTGATTATGTCGTACCCTTGTCTGCATTTTCATCTTTGATGTGTCGTGTGTGTGGTGTCAGTCCCTAAAGAATGACAAGCCAAGAACAGTGAACGGATGTGGTAAACCCTTGCAGTGTTACCAAGAAGACATCTTGTAGATACCCAGGACTAGTTTCATGAGTTAAGTTAAACCTGTGATGTTGTGTTTGGGTTTCACAGTCCGTCCCAGACTCTGGGCTGCATCTTGTTGTTAAGGGATGGGGGTGGGGCTTAAGGGGAAGCCACGGCAGAGTCTGATGTTTCTTGGGATAAAACATTACTCCAGTTAGATAAGGTCCATTGCTTTTGTGTGTGGTCACTGAGGTAAACGAGGCAATATAGAAAAATGCTTTCTGCCATCTTGGTGTTTTGACTGTAACATGTTAAATAAATTGGCATAAGCAGTATTGTGATGAAGCCAACACCTCTGTGTTTCAAGAAACGCTTCTGTGTTTAAATTCATTTGGGTACAGCAGTAGTGCGGATCTGTGATGCTTCCGGAGCTTCTGGTCTCCAACTTTTTTATCCTTTCACGACATGCATTAATGAGGAAGCTTAATTTTGGAATTTTAATTGTTTAGAGGAATTCTAAATGGGAATGGCATCTTTCTATAGCCCCAACTGTATAAGAAAGCCTTATGAATTGTTTAGAATTCATAGATTTTGTGCAGCTGGGCCCTGTAGCCTGTTCTAGAACTGTTTGCAGAACCTCTTGGAACAATAGGGGAAAACAAATGTGAAGAAATAATTGCTGACGTTAAACAACTCTCCATGTAGGATGTTTTTTAGTCTCGGAGCCTTTGGGAGTCTTGGTCACCCAACTGTGTAAAGTGTTTATTTCTTGGATAACAGGGACCGAGTTCGTAAGTGGTTAAGTGCTTCCGAGGCAGGCGTTTGTGCCAGGTGCCAAGGAGGCCAAGGGAATGGTATGTGAAAAGGCCCGTGGAGATGCTCTGGATGCAAATGGAGCTGGGTCAGCCTCAGAATGTCCCTGGGGCACTCGGATTTTGCCGATTTATTGCAGCCACTGGCACGTGAGCCCCAGGGGCAGGAGTCTGTGCTCGTTGCCGAATGCCGGATGCGGGGCCTGTGTACCTGTTAACTAGATCTACTGCCATTCCTCCAGAGAGGGAAGCACCTTTCAGGGGATGGTGTCCTGGTGGGCCAAGGTGCTGGAACACATTTTTGGATCGAAAACTGCAGGCCCAAAATGCTGGGTGGCTTCGGGGCCTCTTTAAAAACAGAGGCCTCCAGGGTGTAGGTTTGGAGCCCATGGGCAGTGACGACTAATTGGCCGACAGCTGGAAGTCCTCAGGCCGAGCTCCAGAACCCACTCCCTTCAAGCTCTTTCCCTCTGTGCATCCACCCAGCACAGCCCCACAACGCTCACTCAGCCTTTCTCTCTCCATGTTCACTCGGCTGCTCGATCTGCTGAGTCTTTCTCTTTTTGAACTTTTTGTTTCCCGCTGCCATCGCTGACCTGGTTTCAGTCTGCAGACAGCTGCTTCATGAGAGTGGCAGCCCAGCGCCTCTCCCTCCCCACCGGCCAGCTCTCCACCCGCCAGCCACCTCTAGCACCTTCACAAGCTCATAGGCACTACCCATCCCTCTAGAAGACTGGCTCCTTCTGGGACCTGTACCTTTCCCACCTTCCATTTGTTCCTGACCTCCCTTCCTAACTGCCCTCCCTTACCTCATGGAACACACATTCAAATATTTGAACAAGCTAGTGCTCCTCCTCCTTCCCCATATTCTGTTTTGACCTAGTTCTGGACCCTTCTCAGAAACTTATGTTCTTACCCCACTGGGGGATGCCCGTATCCCACCCCCTCCTCATCAGTACTTCTTTACAGTTCTACCTTGTACCTTATTTTGTTTCTTTTTTTTTTTTTTAACCTGATGTTAACATTGGATGAGCACAGAAAATTCCATATCTGTGTCTATATTCACTCCCTGTAAACGCATTTTGAGAAGAAAATTATCCATGAGCCTTGAACTAACTGTTCCCACCATCTCGTATTGGCATCGTAAGCATTTCTCGCCCTGTGTAGCCCTTACTAGAATGTGAGGAGGGGTGATCCTCCACCTTGCCTGGAATGCTACCCCATTCCCCCAGACATACCCTGTTTATCCCTGACCCATGCTTGTGATGGTTGAGGTTGTCAGGACCACCTCAGTCAACTGACTCTGCGTTGGCTTGGCCAGCCCTGAGATGAACTGGGCGCTGCCTGCACCTGCTGTGTGTCCATTGCTGGCCCGAGGGTGTTGGGTGAGGCATGGGCACCTCTGCGGTCTCCCTTGCCCAGCCCCTTTGCTGTCTTCATCCTTCTCCACTCCCCCACCCCTCCCCCACCTCTGAAGCTGCCTTAGTTGTAAGGACACCTGGGTTCTGGCCCTGGAAGCACCACTGTTTCTTCAGATTCGACCTCTTTAGTTTCTTCATTGTAAGAAGGACAATAGAGATATGAATCACGATTACATTCCTAGTAGTCACATTACAATAAACAGG